TACTATAGCAACTTTTGCTCCATTACCCATCTTGAGGTCCATCTCACCTCTCTCTAGTCTCCTAGGCCTTGCCAGAACCTGCAACGAATTGTATATATGATAAGCACTACCGGTATCCAATACTCATGTGTTATCATAAGAGTCTGACAAATGGAGACTGATCATGAATGTACCTAAAGCTTCATCAAGCTTTTGTTTCGCCCTTTCTGCAAGGTACTCTTTGCAGTTCCTCTTCTAGTGCCCATCTTTGCCATAGTGAAAGCACTAACCTTTGTCATTTGCTGGGTATTTCTTAGCAACCTTTGCTTTACTTGGTCTGCCCTTGGCCCTTCTTAAGGGGCCTTTCTGCTTTCCTTTTCTTTCTGGTCTCACCAGTGTAGAGAACTGGCTTCTCTTTCTTAATAGTACTCTCTACCTCCCTCAACATATTGAGGAGCTCTGGGAGAGTCACCTCAAGCTTGTTCATATTAAAATTCATTATGAACTGTGAAAAGGAATCTGGTAGGGACTGAAGCACAATGTCCACACACAAGTTATCCTCTAGGACCATTCCTAGACCTGTGAGTTTCTCTATCCACTCAATCATCTTTAGGACATAGTTTTAAACCGGTGTCCCCTCAGTCATCCTAGCGTGGAAGAGGCTCTTGGATATCTCATATCGCTGAGTCATTCCCTGTTCCTCAAACAATTTACAGACATGTAGGAGAATGGATCTGGCATCCATCTTTTCATGTTGTCTCTGTAACTCAGGAGTCATAGAGCCCAACATATAGCACTGAGCAAGAGTGGAGTCATCAATGTACTTCACGTAGCGAGCGATCTCATCCTCGCTTGCCCCTTCTTCGGGCGTAAGCATCACTGTATCAAGGACATACAAAATTTTCTCCACCGTGAGAACAATTCTCAAGTTACGGAGCCAATCCGTATAATTTGGACCAGTGAGGCGGTTGACATCAAGTATGCCACGTAAGGGATTTGAAAGCGATATTTTCTGAAAATAAAGATGCAGCAGAAATGAATAACATATAGATTTTGAAAGAAATAAACTATCAAGATATGGACTTCTATCTTAATATGCTCTTACTATTTTACTAGCGAGTCACGCGACACCCTCAGCATGTGAAACGAAATTCTCCGGTAGACTTCTAGTGGGGATCAGGATCCAATCAAAGTCTTAGTGTAACCTCGAGGGACTCGACCAATCATACTAAGCCTAAAAGGTAGGCAACTCTTGCCGATCACAACTCCTTGTGATTCCTGTCCTGTGCAGCCTCCGAATCACCATGGTCTCGAGAGACTCGACCAACCATGATGCTCGGTTAAGTCAACACATTCGTTACAAGATGAGTCTGATTTGATGATATACCCTCGAGGGACTCGACCAAGCATACCATGTTCTCAGGTCACTGGTGACATCTCTATGTCGTAAGCAAGATAGCGAATCATGATATAGGTGAATCTCGAGGGACTCGACCAACTCAACCTACACCGGGAATCGGTTCCTACTTATAATGATGGAAGGCCACGTGGGTCAATCTAATTGCCTCACGTTTACCGACTTAACATTATCGAGAGATATGTTTCTATGATTTGTCACACATATACATATTTAATATATATCTACATCGCATGCAAATATATATACATATCTATTATGTATATAAGCAATCACACCAGATGATCATGGACCACAACCTAATGTGATTAGGCCCGAGCCAGTAGGCCTAATCACTCACATCAAGATCTATATGTGCAACGGTGCATCTCTATACCCTGTGATCGTCCATCTCGTCCTCATCGGTTCCGTCGACATCTCGATGCATTTTCATGTATCGCGAACGTCCATCTCGTGGGTCCCGCTATCGCATCCAAGCTCCCGCTGCGCCTCCTCATGTGATTACAACTTAATCATAGGCACGCAAGGCCGACAATAAACGAGAACTATAATGGAGGCTCGCAGATCCCAATAATAATAATCACAAGTACACACACATCACACGATCCATGATCATCCGTCCACACATCATACATCACATGTATAAATAATCATCATCATGTAGGACTACTAGATAATAATAAAAATAATAATCAACTAAACTTTTTAATTAATTAGTATTTTATGAAATCATAGACATATAGGAAATTTCTTAATTCCTAGGGGTATTTTCATAATTTAGACAAAAGACAGAAATTGAAATTTCTCAAATTTTGAGGGGCAAAACTATCTTTTGCCCAGAAAACCCTAATGCCCTCATCCTCCCTTGCTGCTGCCGCTGCCGCCATCGCTGCCATCCTACCGGCGACGGGCTGTGCGGCGGAGGGCGAGGTTGCTGCCCTCGCTTGTAGGCGGCACGCCCGCTGGTGGCGCTGCCCCTGCAGTTGGGCGCCCCCGCGGGCGCTTCCGCCTCCGCGGGTGGTTCTGCCCGCGAGGCAGCGCCCACAAGCGGTGCTGCCTCGTCGGGCAATCGCCCTTGCGGGGTTTTTGCCCGCGGGAGCAACAGCCACAAGCGCCGCTGCCCTACGGCGTGTCACCACGCGAGAGTAGCGGCCGCAGGCATCGTTGCCCTTGCGGCTGCTGCTGTAGGCTGCTTGCCTGCACGTAGAAGGCAGTGCTGCCATCTGCGACGACAGTGAGGGCAGCAACTTGCTGCCCTTTTTCACTTTTGCGTCAACGATTTTGACATCAAAAGCTTCTCCAAAACACAACACACGCAGTTTAAAACCAATCTATCGCACAAACAACCTGACTCTGATACCACTGTTGGGAAATCTTGGGGGTGACATCACATGCACAGCGGAAGAGCAAGAAAACAAAATCCCTTATTCCCAAAGAGATATTCGTCGTCGTAAGAAGATTGGTGCGCAAAATCCGCGAAACTGAAAAACTGCGTATAGAGTAGATTGTGTTATCTAGGGAGATCGTATATCCCTATTTCCTTGCAGATCTTTAGGAGAGGGTGAAGGAGGTCAAGCGTCCTCCTCTCTAGCAGTTATCCACACAGCAGGGCTACGACGACGCTCCTCAAAACTCTAGGCCTGCTTTGAGGTGGAGAGGGGAAGGAGAATAGGAGAGGCAAGCAAAGGCTCTAGCCTATGAGGCTCTGAATCCCTCATATTTATAGAGGTCCCCTGTCAAACCCTAATGGATCCTCCCCTAGTGGATATTGGATCTGCATCCAATAACCCAAGCCTTTTAGATTAGTGGATCTCTATCCAATAATCTCTCATGGGCTCTTATTGGATCTCGTCCACGGGATCCAATAATTCAGGGGCTTATTGGATATCCAATAAGACAAAGGCTCCGTCGGATATCTCATATCTGAACCTCTACTCATCGCAATGCCTATCATATGTGTGTGGCCCTCTAGGCCTAATATTGAGTTGGCTGTGAGTCATACCTGTCAGAACTCCTTCTAACTCAGTGAATTATTATCTCTGTAATAATTCACTCGACTCATCGACTACGGACGTACTAGGCCACTACATCGTAGTCCCCAGATGATTCAGGAGAATCCAATCCATTGGACTTATCTATCCTCAGTTACCGTGTACCTATAGTCCCTCATCCATCTAATATCCCAGAGACCATATATCGAGCATGGTGCAGTCAGACCCATACGGTTTCTACTCGAGTCTCGCTCTAATCGGATTCTCCCGGAGAACTCTTTCTCTCTCAACCCTAATGACCCTGGCCAGGGATTTGTCTGAGCAAGAATACATGGGATATTCCTCTCATGACGCCAAGAGTGGATGATCCTCTATCGACACTCAATAGCCCTTATAAGGTTGACTACCACTCCCAATGACCATCTGTACTAGATCTAGGACAGCCAAACCTATAAGTCTGGTATCAAAGAGTGGAGCACTCATACAGGACATCCTTGGTGTCTCAAGTCTAAGGACCAGATATACCACTAGGACTACGGAATCGCTGTCTGACAATAAGGCATCATCAACCATCCAACATTTCGTAAGTGGATCAATCAGTGAACTCATTCTCCAATGAGCACATGTACTGTATCCCTAGTGTCCCTACATGAGCAGCTATGAGACCAGCTGCATCCATCATATGGACGGGTATACAGCACACCAG